AAGTGTCCGGTACTGTTTCATTTTTCATTTTTTTTCTACAAATCAGAATGACCTGAAATTTGGAGCGTGTATTCATCAAAAATAGGGGAATCTTTGAAAAATATAAAAAAAATATTTTACAAAAAAACAATTGACCAAAAGACCCCTGAAACTTTTTGGGGGTATTTTGGTCAACTTGTTTTTCGCGGATAATGTTTTTATATTTTTATTAGATGTGCCTCAGTAAGATGTACATACCCTCCAAATTTCAAGTCATTCTGATTAATAAAAAAAAATGAAAAATAAAACACTACTGGACAATCGTGACCGCACGATGAAACTTGGACGGTGATGAGGTTAGGCGAAATCACTATTCATTTTCACCTATAGGTGTTAAGAAGACTTTTCCTATATATATATATATATATATATATAGATAGATATATAGATATCTTTTATGGCGATGTAATAGAAGCCAACAAAAAAGAAAGGAAATTTAATAAAAAATTAGAAAAGTATATTAACGCTAATTATGTGTATAAAAAATAGGAACTATAATAACAAGGGATTCCTACAATACAATTTAGCATATCCAAAGAAATCTAGAAAATAATAAATAGAAAATTAAACAGCTCTAAAATAATATTGAATGAATTAAAAAAGATATAAAAATAAAAAATCGATTTTAGTTAAATATTTAAAAGATTTCTTTTCATGTAAACTCTTAACAAGAGCATCATGAACATATTTGCCACTTGCCAATGATGTATGAAAATGAAAAAGCACATGGGTGAGCCTCACTGATGAGAGAACAAGTTACCGTAAGAGGTTACTCCACCAAACGTATGAAAATCCCAAACAGATATATCTTGTGTACTGAAGCAGAGGAGACCAATGGCCATCTCTTTGTCCACTGTAAGGTGGCCTCATTTATTTGGGCTCAACTCCTACTGTTATTCCAATGGCAGTGGGTCACTCCACCAAACGTCCCGCAGCTTCTAAGTTCAATCTTCTCTACCCCATGGCTTAAGGCTGGAACCCTGTTGTGGAGAGCTTTGGTGGCTGCCACTTTGTGGGTAATCTGGAACAAAATAAACGCCAGAATTTTTCGAAGTCAAAACTCATCTGCGGAAGCTCTACTAGATCAGATCAAAGGAGCTGTCATTTTTTGGGCAACCCACCACAAACACTTCAGTGGCCTTTCCCATTCCAACTTCCTCCACAGTTGGAACCCCATTCTCAGATTCAACCCTTAGAGGCCCCCTTGATCCTCCCTTTGGAGACCCACCCGATGATGGGCAAAATGGTGATGTATAAAAATTTTTGGCCTCTCTAGGCTCCTTGTATAGGGAACCCGTTTGTGGGTAGCCTATTTTTTTGGGCGGAACCCATGTGTGGGTATTAAGACCACCTCCTTTTCTTTGTACTTTATTTAGTTAATATAGAGTTAACATATTAAAAAATAAATAAAAACAAGTTACCCTCAGAGGTCAATTTAAGGACTGAAAGTCCTAACAAGATGGGTTGTCTTTGTAAATCATTGTATGAAACTCTATAGGAGGATGGAGGTTAGGTCTTCCTAAGAAGGCTCACTGTAACAATCCTAAACTTTAAAAAAAAATATATATACATATATAATAATAATATTAATGGTGTTAACAGAAATAAATACAAAAATAAAAATAAAAATAAATAAATAAATAAACAAAATAATAAGTATATATTAGTAATGATAATAATACTAATATACCGTTAGGATATTGTTGCTTTTATATTAACAATAAATAAAGATATTATTGTTAATATATTTGAGGGTTCAATTTTACTTGGGTGGACTTAGGTCCACCACCTTAAAGGTTTATAATCACACTCCTTTAAACGGCACCTTGCATTGAGGTGTATCTTTTTATACGCCTCTTTCTCTCTCTTTCTCTTAAAACATCAAGTCTTTCTTTTTCTCTCTCTGCGTTTGTAAGTCAAGAGGCTTCTCTTTTTCTCTCATCAACCTTCATCTCAAAACCTTCCCTATCTCTACTCTCTGTAAACCTCTCTCTCTAACCATGGCCTATGAACCATATACACACGAGACTACGATGACGCATATGATAAGCCCACATCCAAAACTGATGCTCACCCAATTTCGGAATTAAAGTAAGTGACATCGTCTTTCTGAAAAATAGTTTGTTTTCAATAAATAGTGATATTTCCGTCCAGGATCTTTATTTTATAAATTTTGTGTAAGTGACTTCATTATCTTGAAAAATAATCCGTTCTTTTTAAAAATGAAATGAAAAAAATTACTTCTGCTTATTATCATGAATTTTAGGCGCGATAAATTTTATGCGCAAGCAACCTCATTATTTTGAAAAAATATTTTTTTTAATAAAAATTGTGATATTTTATCTATGTTAGAAATTTTAAATGCTGTAAATTATTAGAACTAAATTTATTTATTTTTCTTGTCTATTGTTAGAAAATTTTAGATACTGTAAAATTATTAGAAATAACTGTGATATTTCTATTGTTAGTAAAATTGTGTGATTTCTTTCTACTGTTTTTGAATATTTAGACATTGTAAATTTCATGTGCAAATGACTGCCGTATTATTTGAAAACTGATAATTTTGTAATTGATTATAATGTGAAATATTTATTTGCGAATTGACATCCCATAAATTGTGATGATTCCGTATTCTTGAATTTCTATAAGAGTTTTTCTATACATATTAAATTGGCAATTATGCTAGAATGTCTTTACAAACTGCTACCTTTCTAAATTTGAGCCCAAAATATTTGATTGGTTATTTTTGAAAGTGACTGTTATTAATGGGTTCAGTGAAATTCATATTAACGATTTCAGTGATATGTTGAGTACATGATATTACTGCTTTCGAATGTTTAAAGAGATTTAGAAATAATTTAAGTATGCAAGTGGACTCATCCGGTTCGCCGGTGAGGTATAAGTGGACCTACCCGGGACGCCGGTAGGGATTAAGTGAACTCATCCGGTACGCCGGTGAGGTATAAGTGGACCTGCAGGGATTAAGTGGACCTATCTGGGACGTCGATAGGGATTAAGTGGACCCATCAGGACGCTGATGGGGTATATAGGTGACCTACTTGGGACGCCAGTAGGGTATTTTGTGAAATCCTTTGAATTATGCATTGCCGTTAAAGTGTTATATGCATTTCAATTATTCGGGTTATACTTAATTATGCATTTATTGAAAGTGAAACTGTTGATGCATTTCTGTTAATAGATCTTCTTTTTGAAAATATTGATATCTTTCAACCATGATTATTTTTAGGATTATGATGATCACTTACTGAGTAGCCAAACTCATCAAACTATGGTAAACATTTTTTCAAGATAACTGCGGATTCATTTTGAGTGCTAGTCAAGATCAACCTTGGAAGATATTGTTGTCGTGCTAGCTTTCTTTATTTACTTTGTAAGACCTCGCCACTTTAAATTTGTCCTATCAAGAGATGTATATATGTTTTGGACTGTCACATCTCAAGAATATTTGTATTGTAAATTCTTGAGGTGTGACACTCACGATATAGGTTAGGGCTGGCTTAGCCCAGTTGAGGTGCCACATGACTCTTTTTGCGAACAATAGACCATCTTATGCTGCAATAGCCAAGGCAGGCCTATCTGCATTATGAACAACGCCAAGGAGGACAAGGCCAAGAAATCCTCAACAAGATTAGTCTCATCACAGAATGTCACGCAAGCTTGTGCTTAGAGAGTATCCGGTGCATGTCAATTGGATTATCCTGCAGTTTGTTCATAAGGTGGTATCCTTAGACTTGAGCATGCCCTACACTAAGGCTATGCATTGTTTCATAAACCATAAGCCCCCATAATTTGAAGGACCGTCATGGGTATAGTTGTTGGCAATGGGAGCAGGATCGGGGCATCATGAAAAGCTAGAAGATTACTATGGTAGGGAGCCTGCCCACAAAATGCATATGTTAGGGATCTCGATCCCAATCTTTTGAAGAACTCGATCCCAATTCCCAACCTTTTGGGGATCTTGCTTCCAATCTTAAAAGAGTATATATAGTTTAGGACTATACGTACTCTTTGAAATAGAAATCTCTTTATTTACAGTAGGCAAGCAAAGCAACTGCATTAGATATATAGTTGCATACGAGCTGGCTATAAAAAAAGAAAATCATCAGTTTGGTTGCTATCTTGGTCTTGAAGGTAGGGATCAAGATCTAAAAATGAGATCACTTGACAATCCCTTTCCCGAAGTAGAGAAAGATTCCGAAGCAGAATAGCTACCTAGGTTGGGAGATCTAGGCAACCATGGTTATGAACTAATGATTCTTGTAAATGTGCAAATCCTATATTTTCTGAAATTTTCTACTTGTTTTCTGGTTTTTGTCACAGTTTTCTCTATTTTTTCCATTTTTTGTATTTTCCTGAGTTTTTTAATTTTTTACTATTCTGGTGAATGGGTCCTGTTCGACGAGTTCAACCTCCAGTCCACTCATGACAAAACTGGTTTCATTGTAGAGTCTTGCTCACACAACATCTTCACTTGGATAGATATTTCATATTTCTACTGCTGATTGCACTTCAGATACCTCGATGTATCTAATCAACTCAACTAGCATTCACTATTGGAGTATGAGTAACATGAAGACATGGAAAGTGTCAATTAAGGGTTAGGAGAACCATCCCTAGTACGAGATCTCGGTGTCTCAATTATAAAAAATGCCCAACATTGAAGAGAAACAAATATAAACAAATCAAAATAGAAAACCATATCCATCCCCAAACACATTATTCATCTTGATAATGTCATTAAACTATTATCTTCTAGTATGATAGCGGTAAACAATTGACATTCCAAATACAAACCTCTGAAATAGCTACTTACCCAAAAAACCTCTGAAATGGCTAAGAGCCAATTATAAATTCTTTCTTGAGGGAAAACTCTTGACCATCAAACTCAGCTATTTGTCCAAAAGAAATAAAAATGAGCATGCAAAGTACCATTCTCTTACCAAATCCTCCCAAAAGCGACCTGAAACAACCTTTTTAAAACGTATTATCCACTTTCCACCATTGCAATTTGCAGAGTCCTGAAAAAAAAAACAAAAACAAAACAAAACATATATCAAAACAAAGATATGTCAAAGACTGCACTAACAAAAAAAATAATGTCTAAAGAATAATGAAGTATAGGTGTTCAGTTCAGCCATTAACCTAACATATCACCATCTTAGTTATGTATGAGGAAATTATCCAACATAATTGGTATGTTTTAGCAGCTTGGCCCTATAATTTACCTCCCACAAAGGTCGGATGCCCTCCTTGAAAAGATGCAAATCTGTAGGATTTGGCAAGGAAGATGGGCGGACAAGATGGCAATAGGAGACCCAAAACCCTTCAACCTATAAAACATCATAACAAAAACATGAAAGATGATGTTACCAAATGTAGCCCCTTTTCTTATTAATTAATTAAATAGACTTCCTATCATGCGTCATCAAACCAAAAGTAGATTGGAATTTGGACTTACCGTACTAAACTCCACAATTTTCTTTATATTATCTTCATAAGACGTTTGGGACCGAACCCCAGGTGTCCGACGGGTGTACCAAAAAACAAACTTTTGCTGAAAATGGGAGTGTGGAAATAGTTCAGTGCAATAGCAGTATAAGAAGTACGGCATCGAATGTCATGTGCAATATCAGTTGAAAGTTGAAAAGAAAAAGGAACTGTCCAAGCAGATCTAGGTCAATCGTGGCTGAAAATCATCCATCCTATCCAAAATGGGAACATATAGTCCTTTCAAGGACCACATAATAAACCTTAGTACTTCAACCTCTTCAAAGACTCCCACAAATGTAGGAGAAGCTTGCCACTGATTACTTTAAGCTAAATGAAGTCATCTACCTTATTATAGTTAGTTATAGGTCAAGAATTATTTGCTACTTAAATAAGACATCTGTGAAAAACCATGTACAAATATTTTGAAAGGGCATTGATATCAATACAAACAAGTTAGGACATTGATATCAATACAAGGAAAGGGCATGTCAATATATGAGCAACATGTCGATTACAGACAAACATATATAAATACTTTAATAAATTTACATATTACTCATTAATATACTGTCACCAGTTATAGAAAAAAACCATGTACAAATATTTTGATGATCCCATCAAACACAGCATTGGTGATGGAGATCAAGTAATTCGCTACTTAAATAAGACATTTGTGAAGAACTCAGATGGCTGCTCTGCAGTAAAAATATTGGACAGATTTTCACTGAGACGGAGATGAACCAACAAAAGCTCCCATAGGATGAAGTCTAAGTCTTCATAGTTGACTTTCAACATGCTTCATGTAATTATAAAAAGACTGGATCCAAAAAATCGAAAGGGAACCAACAAAATTCGCAAATTGAAGAAAAAATACATAAAGATGAAGCAAACTAGGCAGCAAGGGACCCACCTTAAGAACATTTCAAGAATTATTTTTGCTGTAAAGTGCCACCACCGCCCTCCCCCTGGGTTGTTGTATAGTATATATTAATGCAAACGGGGTAAGTGATGTAGAAGGAGGATCGCATATTAATATAGAGGGAAAGGGCCAAGAGATGGATAAGGAGAACTATATATTAGTATACATGGGCAAGAAGAACTCCACCATTGCTGCTACCCAAGCCTGGATGAGAAAGGACGAGGGTTGTGTGAAATTAGCATCCAGCATAGAACTTTTGCCACATCTCTATCATGAATCTTGATCCAATGTTTAGAGTGGTATGGTAGAATAGGACTCGTGTAGCGGAGCCCAAATAGTTGGGATACGGCTCGGATGATGATGATGATATATAGGAAAGGAGAAGAACAAGAATCAAGGACTGGGACTTGAGGCTCGAAGATTAAGAAGAAGAAGAATAATTGATGCAAGGTGGGGATTCAACCAGGGGACATATTATTTATAGGCTTCGCAACAAAGATTCGAATGATTAGACGGCTTCTTAAAAATTCCTTTCATTTTTTCCATAAGGATATCGAGGCTCAAAAGTTCAAGAAACTTCTTTTTTTCTTCCAAGGAAGAAATTCAGAATTCAATTAAGTAAGGAGCGACACATATGAAAAATAAGAGCCTCTATTCATAAGATTTGTGAAAAATGTCGACTGATTCGTAGGCGAGGACGAATTATGGTAATTTGTTCCAATCTGAGACATAAACAGAGACAAAGGTAATTTTTCTATTTCTAAAAGAGGACTTCACAAGGTGGGCCACCTAGGTGGGGTATGTAGGGCCCTCCCCTAGACGATCACCCAAGGCCTTTGGCTGCCTAGGTCCTCGTGGTTTCTAAAACAATGATAATACCCACTGCTGAAGTAGATAGTATCGGGGGCAACACATGTATTTTCAATCAAACTATATTGTGAGCATAAGTTGTGGGCCAAAAAGAAATCCAAAATCCCCATTAGGACATGATTTGTGATTTGTGAACTAACAATGAGAGTTCAAGGCCAAGATTAGAAGAAGACGAATATGCATGACAATAAGTTGGGCTACCCCTGACCAGGGCCAAGCTCGGGTCTCCAGGCCGTGAACCTGCTCAACCGAAGGGCTGGGTCCAGAACCTTTACTTGAGGATGGCCTGGGTCTTACTGGCCAGATTGGGCCATGAACTGCTCAGCCTGATAAGAACTTGGGCCAAGCACTATAGGCCCAGCCCCGGCCAGGTCCTATTGACCACCTATGTTGGCCCTAGCACGGGTTTAGTGAGGTCAGGCCCCCCAATGCAATGCCAGGCCTAAACATGAAACAAAGAAATGCATGCTAAATGGTGAAAATACTGTTAAATGTATTTTGCACCATAAAATGGTGATATTGGGTGGGTTTGCAGAGAAAAACGTCTGCGAACCTAACAATAAGCTAAAATGGAGTGTTACTTTGGCTGTTTATGATTCTTGCTCAACTAAAAAATTCATGGGAACACTTACACGATTACTGTAAACATGAGGGATACCTATAGGCCTAAAAGTTTTCTGAGATAACCTATGTAGGTGAACCAAAAGAAATGAAGCAACAGCATAAGGTAAGAGATAGCTCCTGAATATCACCACATAGTAATATAATCAACACAAGAAGTACTTTTGTTGTTCAACAATAAGATGTCACACAAAAAAGGAAGAATCAAACTATCTCATGAGAAATCAGTTGCAACGATGGTTTCTTGAAAGTTCACAAACCAGGTTCTATGGCTCTCTATAATGCATTATATAAGTATGAAAACTATCAAGAAAGAAAATCCAATACGAAATCTATAAGTAAATTGGAGCCCTAACACGGAACCGATGAGTAAAGTCTAAACATATGTAAAATTTTCAAATTTAACTGATGGGAGAAGTTCACTGGAGCGGAAGTGAGTGAGAGATTAACGACCTCATGTAAACCACACAAATGATAGAAGTAAAAGAAAATGATATTCAAAACCAGAACAAACAAATCTCAGTTCCAGTGAATCGATAACAGAGAGCTCAAGTCACACTCATAATTTTGCATAATCCAAAGCTAAGGCGAATTTAGAATAATAACAAGCAGCTATATCTTACTGTAAACCCAACCGACCACGAATTGACTCGGAAAATCCTAATAAGCGAAAAACAGGGTCATCAGAATTTCCAAAACTCGTTTTGGATGGACAGATTGAAGATTCATTCAATCAAATAAAGAAGGAATATGAGAGAGAGAGAGAGAGATTCAACCTGCAAGGGGTGCAACCCTTCTCTCAAATCGCGGCTCTGGCGGTCTCTCTCCTCGGCCTCCTTGCGGAGCTTCTCATTTCCGCTTTCTCTCTCCTTGGCTGCAACTTCCATGGAGGATCGATCCTTGCCATCGCCTTGTTTCTCAATGGTGTCCATGCTTTCTCTCTCTGAATCTCCTGTACTTTCTCGAGAGGAACTTCGAAGATGAGACTGTTATTTGTAGGTTTGCAAAGGCAAATGGAGAAAATGGGAATTTGGGGGTCAGAGAGAAAGTAAAGAGAGGCACTTCGAATCTTATATACAGAGAGAGAGAGACTTTGAATTTCAGTACAGAGGAGAGGACTGCAGGGGAAGAAGAACGAAAAAGAAATCGATGTGATCCAACGGGTCGACCCAACTTGGGTTCAGGTTTAAGTCCATCTTTTGGAGCTTGAAGGGTTGGTTCGAGGTCAAACACTCTGGACCCAAGAGTCGGTTCAGATCAACTCTATGTCAAGCTTGGACCTAATAGGGTTGGGAGTTATTTTTTAAGAAAAACATAGATTTTATATCATAAAAATATTTTTAAATTTTTAAAAATATTTACATGGACCACCTTTGGATGTAATCGACCTGAACCCAACCAGGTCTAGGTCCGACCTTGGATTTGTTGGTTTGAATCCAGGTGAATTCTAGCCAGACCAAACCCGAACCATTTTATGCTCCTACCAGCTCCTCAATCATCTTAAGTCAACCATTAGAAAGATGAACTGAGTTTGCTCTCCACTCTATGATTGGAATGACTCACCACAACCATCCATCCAATGGCAATCGATGGTGGAGACTCACCACAACCGTCCATCCAATGGCAATCGATAGTGGAGAGTATGCTTGCAGACTAATCCACAACAAAATGTACCATAGTAAACAATACCAAAATCCTTCCACATGAGAACCAATCTCCCTTCTTTTATGCATAAAAAAATAATCAAATAAAGACAAAGAGGACTCTCTTTTCCCATTCCCATGAAACTTTTGCTTTTTATTTTTACTTTTAAATACTCAAGTAATCTAAAGCTGATCTAATTTTCATCCCTTTATCTCTTGCCTCGCACATCTCCAATCTTCTCCCTATTCCTTTTTCAAGCACCTCCAATTAAATTCCAGCAATTTAAGAGTTCCAACTGCAATCTAACTTAAAATGGAATTCTAACACTTCCTAAATAACATTACGATCCTTTGATGATAAATTATAACCTCCCCATCCAACAATAATAAGAGATAGTGTTGTGCAATGAAAGAAATAATAATAAAAGAACAGATCAAGTCTAAAATTACGCCTTTGGCTACATCATTCCCCCAGGTTGTAAAGAACTCGACTGTAGCGAATTTACAGTATCATACGCTTCGAGCACCGTACTCTATCCTTGTCGTAGTTCGTCAATTTTCGATGGCTCCTTTTATTGCTTGCAAAAAGACCGCATATGCCACCCATCTTGCACTTGTACACTTTCAAGGAGATTGTACGCCTCTATAGAGTGCCAAGATCAATTACTTCGGACTGTGATGTGCAAATTTTTAAGCCACTTTCAGAGGACTCTATAGAAGAGGCTAGATATTAAGCTCTTATTCTTATTTAGTTCACTCATATAGTCAATCTCACTGTAAATATCAAATATGTTAATCTCATTGTAAATGTCAAAGATGATTTTATTCTGATTTTCAATATCCAGTTCACTCAAAGAGTCTCTGACGGAGGCTAACTTCCATCAAATATTCGAAGAATCTCAGGTTGGTCATTTCTGATAGTTTATTTACTGAATGATATATTTCCAACTATGACTTATCATACGTTGAAGTTCAATTAGGTTGGGTCATGTAAAGTTCTAAAAAAGATGGAACCAGTGCTTATAAAATTGAGCTCTCAAGAGACCTTTGTATAACTCCTATTCTGAAGGCACATTGTTGTAAGTGTCATGGTGAACAGGTCAATCAAGGAGGGGAAGATGATTGGCACCAAGAAATTCTACAACCGCCTAAGGGCAAAGGGCAATAAATCCTTGATGTTGATGTTGATGTTGATGTCATAAAGATTTAAAGGTAAATATTGGAAGTTTTTTGTTCAATGGTTGAGAAAACCTCAGCTAGAAGTCTATGGATTTCAGGAGTCGATTTGAGCTTACCGATGGTAAGATTCTTGAAGAGTATGATGCCGTAAACTCCCAAGAATCGTGTTAGCCATTCTGTAATTTGATATTTCTTTTATTTTTATTTTTATTTTTTATTTTGATACTCTTTATCCACTGTCAGAGGAGTAGTCATTATTTATTCAAGGGAACATATCAATTGAGGGGTCCAATTATCTTCTTTTATCATTAAAGGTATCAAATCATCTTATTTAACATTAAGAGTGTTGTTTTTCAAGTTTTATTTTACTTAGCTACCGCTTAGAAGAATATAGTATAAATAGCCCAGTTGCACCGATTTATGATTTGGAACCTTGAATAGACATAAGCAATTATGTAATTTAGTCCCACCTGAGTGATTAAGTGAGTTTCGTGTTGCTTAACCCTAAAAAATCAAGTTACTTTCATGATTTGGTAGTTCTATGTTACGTACTATGAACAATGATGGGTACCTTTTTCATTTTGCTCAAGCAACTTAAGTGGGGTTAAATTACAAAAAAGTGCCTTAGCTTTTCATGTTCTCAATCTAAATAGAGACAATTTATTCATTTCTAAAAGGTACCCAAATAAATTATACTTTACAAGCAATACTCATGTGTTAAAATATGATTATTTGATGCCTTTCATGATTATAAGGTGATTTCCCCATAAATTGGTACTTTCCCTTTATTTAGTAAACAGGCAATTATTTATATAATTTTTTGTTCCCATTCATCTAAGAAAGTAGTCCAAATACTTCTGCTGGACCAGGAACTATTGGAAAATGATTTGACAGGGCTGCTACCCTATCAAGTATGTAAAGGCTCACCTCATAACTCATCTAAAATTACAATTCAAGTATTGGAAAACCTTTATATCGATCATCTCAACTTGAACATTATGGTTGTGAAAAAAATTAGAATTTCAAATTCTAAAAATAATTTATATTGCAACAAATCATGTAGACCACCATTTTCCCCTAAAAATAAGTCTTCACAGATCCGCAAGATCTGTAGCATTTTTTGCATTTTGAATTTTATGTTGGTATTAAAAACTGATTTTAGAGCCATCATGGATATTTTTTTTGCCGAAAGTGCTTTCCAGAATGAGTATTTGAGGTGAAGCTTTATTTTGTTTTTATAAAGCCCAGGCCTTATAGAAACTTTATCTTTATTGTTGCTTTTGCCACGATCATAATATGGTTTTGGAAATTTATGCTATTATTCTATGGCAATTGATAAGTATTTTTTAGATTATATATTTAGAAATTCGTTTTTAATCACAAATAAATACTTTTAGCTTAAATTTTAAAATTTTTATTTTTGAAAATTATATATCTATTTTTCAATCGAAATAGAATATACCCGAAGGAACACAAATAGTTTTACGTGAACTTACTATGTAATAGATACTGCAATATGATACTTTACCATATATATCCTCACAACTATTTACATGATAAATATAAAAGTTTATCCAAATCAACCTCCTAACCAAGCTCCTAACCTTGAAAATAATTTCTTGATTGACAATTATTCCCAAACCTGCTCATATTTTATATATACAAGATTTATAATAGGGATTGTATACAATGAGACATATACCTCCGATACAAGGTGGTCATAATTCCTTACAACCATTTGATATGAAATTTGATAGTTTTGATGTATCACAAAGTTCAAGAAAATTTCATTTGAAATTTGAGCCTAGTTAATGGAATAACTGCAGCCACATAACTTCAAATCCAATGGTCAAGATTATTGTGACCACTTTGAATCAAAGGTAAATGGTCTCCTTCCCTTATAACTAACTTCATTTTTCATATTTATATCGAAGTCCCTATAATTAGAGAAGATCATGGCTGTACATATGGATATGCTTGCAAATAAGTGCATTAGTCCATGTTCTTCTACCCAAACTCCACTCCAAGTTGTTGAGCTATTTTTCTAAGATGCCTCTCTCTACTTTTTCTTCACCAACTCAAATATTTTGAGAGCTCTGCTTTGCTCAATCTAGCAATCAAAGTCTGATGGAGAAAATCCTACTCAAAAGCATTAGGAAGAACAACAAAATTTTCAAATACCCAAGTCTATGACAAATGACAGAAGCATCCACGTAACCTGCATTCTAAGTATTGCCTTGTTGCATATTATACATAACCGGCATATCATGCACTGGCTTGCATATCATACACCACCTCTCCTACATTCTTTTATGTATTTTTGTACAGGATGTGGTTTGCATAAGGTTGCAATCATAACCAATTAAATTAAGGCGCACTTTCAAATTTTATTAACATATAATTTTAGTGACAAAAGTTTTGAGGATGACCTGAAAATATATTTCTATCACTAATTATAAAATTTCAAACTCCGAAGTAGTTCGAATCAATTAGATCTATAAACACTTTCAAATTTTATTAACATATAATTTAGTGACAGAATTTCTTAGGATGACCTAAAAATATATTTCTTTCACTAATTATAAACTCTGAAATAGTTCAAATCAATTAGATCTATAAACATATGAAAATCTTGAAATTTTGATGTCGAGATGATCAATTTGAGGATATTTGAGCATCAAAACAACCTCTTCTAGTGAAATGTTTTTGGGTAGGCTCTAATTTGATTGTTTAGAGCCCAGGCTTTGTATAAACTTTTCCCATAGTTTTTGGAGAATCTAGATTGGCACATCCACTAGGAAACTTTCATTTAAATTCCATATGTAGAAAAAATTCAAATCAAAATACTAAATACAACCATTTTTTTGAAAGAACTAACTACTAAATATAACCATTGCTGTCCATTTTTAAGGCATGTCCTCGTGAACTTTTTGAGTGGAGGAGTGTCCTCGTGAACTTTTTGAGTGGACTTGTGTTATCAGACCAATTGCCTAACCATTGAGAGGTCTAGTGCAATCAAAATCGGTTTTTCTACTGGTTAAAGCAATTGGACCGTATTATAAAAATATAAAAAAACAATTTAAGATATATAATATATTACAAAGTTGACCAGCTTTATTTAACCGATTGAACGCCGGCCAAAACCAATCAGACATTGATCTAGACAATCTTTTAACAAACCTAATTTTTACTGAGGACTATACAGCCCAAAGCAAAAGGGTTCGACCAGTGAGACTGCTGGTCTTGATATTTGGTGGACTCTATATTCTACCAAGGGAGTGACATAACACTACCATTTGCAGCCGGACTTACCACTCGAAGCCACGATTATTGCCAAAATTGCTGCTCAAAACTCCTTGTCACTGCAAGAAAAAAAGAAGAGAAAATAACTTCTTTTTGAGCTTAGGATCATTGTGACTTGAAATTATACAGGATCCACGTCAAACAATCATTCGAGTATTTCCATAGAAAAGGGGGAAAAAGAAAATTTGAGTACCCAAACTCCTAAACCTCAAAAAATTGGATGGTTTGTGAGATATCCTAAGGTGTTATTTTTTTTAGCAGAGGTGTGCCATATTCATTTTTATTTTGCTCAGTTGGTTGCTAGACAGTACTTTTGAGTCCCCAGATGTTTGGATCCTAAAAATCTCTTTATTAGAGTTTCCTCAAGAAGCAAATGTATATTTTCTTCTCACGGGAGCCTATAATCTTTTCAACTTCCTCGTTCTTTTTCGGGAAGAAAATATACATTTTCTTCTTGAGAAAAACTCTAATAAAGAGTTTATACATTTTTTCCTTGACAAAATGTACATTCGCTCTGAGTTAAAGAATATTTTGGGGCAGCATATATACAAGCCCAAATATTTTTATGATGGATGGCTAAGATGCAGACTCAATATACGCAATGTTTTATGTGTGACAGATAGCATATACTTTTCTCATATTTATTGACAATTATCCATCCCATGCTTGCAGGATAAGGTGAAAAAGAAGAATAGAAAGAGGACTGTGCATGAAACAACTCTCTTTCACACTAAGCCAATGGTTGATATCAACTCTTTACTTAGAACCATGTATAAAGAATGTGTGCTCTATGGATTTCTACCTGTGTGGTTTGGCATGCATCCAAGGCTTTTCCTAGTATGGTTTTATGTTTTTTCCGATTACAATGGATGTGCAACGCCATTATGGTTTTGCTTAAAATTTCATACCATCTTTCCTATATGAAGTGAAGTATGATTGGACAAAGATATTGTTGTGTAAGGGACCCGTCTATAATGCCCTTGCAACCAATCCGTAACACCCATACACGCGCGCACGCACACACCCACCGAACCTCGAGAAATACTTTGGAAGTTCGAATTCCCGTGATTCAGATGTATAGGAGGTACGACATCCAATATTTGTTATATATCGGAGAGAGCGAGGCCGAATTTGCCAGTAACAACCACTATATACGACTCTTGAACGTTCTTTTGGGCTATGGTACTGCTAGTGAATCAGCAAATGAAATGGTGAGATTTGAAGAAATAAAATTTTCTTCAGAGAAGTTCCATCATAACAAAAGTTCTCACAATGAAACCACAAAGTTATTCTTAAACAAGATGTTTCTTTTGTGCTACAAGTTTGTATGCTCGCCCAAAAAATAAAAACTCATCCTTCGGCTTCATCCAAGGTTTAGATAAATGGATCAGTTACCCAAATCGCCCATACACAAAACCAGTCTGGCTCGGCTGATGGCGGTCTGGATCGGCAGTCTAGCCAAGTGAACCGACCAATATAAAGTGAAAAAAAGGGAACAAGAAACATTGAAAAAAATTAAAAAATAAAAAGTCTGACTAGTTATGTCAAGCCAGTTCTCTGACAAAACCGCCCACTGACCGGTTCCCAATATTTTGGTGGAACCAAACTGACCCCTATGATTCCCAATCTAGATGGGCCGGTTCCAATCCAAATCGCCGTTTTTTTAAACCCATATTGCTAAAATTTAAATGCATGGGCCGGAGAAACTTATCGCCCACTTCCTCGAATTTCCTTTGTTTCTACTCTTTTCCTTCGATTTTATTTTGTTTCACTGGAACAACAATTTCGCCAATCCAGATTAGCCAATTCAGTCAATCCAGATTAGCCAATTCAGTCAATCCAGACCACTCAAAGTTAGGGGCCAATCTACCCATCATTTCCGTTTTATGGTTCAAAAAATAAAATTAGTTAAATCTTTGGATCGTGCCACTGAAAAAGTTAGCGAATGAAGCCCTTCTGAAGCTTAGAACCACTTTCGGTAGAAGCTGATTCTAAATTTTTTAAAGATTTTGAATTTAGCGCGGTTCTTGAGGCAACATTGACCAATATTAGGGATTCTCATGTTCCTCCCAACACGCAGAGGGTATCGAAAGGCATTTGTGTTTCATACTTTTGAAACTAGAGGAGACCACATGAACGGATCCTTCTTAAAAAGCACTGAATGCAACACTCCCCCATTCCAGTTCCATTAGAGACTAAATCTAGAGTCAACCAAGTGTAGCAAATGAAGGTGTTCCTTCAAATGGTGAACCGCTGCAATAAATCATTAAAAGCTTCCCCAAGCTTATTTGAAGGATGTGCAGTGATGAGAGTTTTGAGTAAAATAGACCCAAAATCTGAAATCCTCAAATAAATATGATTTACATTGTTCCCAAATGTGATAAAAGCCGTAAGTTTCATATCCTTCGCCTTCGTTTTACACTTTCTTCTCCCTCTGGTGTGAAACAAAAGTGACAATGGAGATTCTCACACGGCCTTCCTTTAAGTGAAAACATTTCCGGGTACATAAATAAATATTGCACTTCTTATGCCCTTGGAGCTCCACCATGTTTGACATACACTACTCTTTTGCCCTGGAAATAGTAAATGTAAATACTTTTAGGATTGCTGTGATGGATGATGTTCATCAATGAACAGAATAGTGCCTCTATAACATAGACAGGAGAAACAGAGAATACTCGTTGTTGTAAATCAAGCATGTAGATTAACCTATAATTGAATATTAACAGTAGGACTGCTGTGATGGAACAGAATAGCGCCACCATAACGTAAGACAGGAGAAACAGAGAATGTTCACTTTTGTATATCAAGCATGTCGATTAACCTGTACTTGATTATTAACAGTACAAATTGCAGATAATCCATGCAAAATTGGAAGTTTATCTCTCCAATCAGCTGTGCATATTCTATGTAGGTAGGAATTGCTCATAGCTGCATGAGAAAAGCCTCAAAAAGAAATCATCATGGTTTTGATGCATCCACTAACTTTTCGTAAAGAGATTCCTCAAGGAAATTTAGAAAACATGAAGGGCACCACCATACTCTTATATTACAAAAACTATCAATGACACCATTTGTTTCATTCAATTCTTTCTCCATCCTTAACCACAACTTAATTGGAGTTGATCTTGAAAACCTCTGCAACTCTTTCTCAGCATCTTTCAGGTTTACTACAAATAGAAATAGTTCGTAGAACAGTTCTATTCAACTCTTCAAGAAAGACTGAAATGCCTTTTGCCCTTGTGCGTATGAGTATTGGTCAAATTTTGAAAACAAAAGTTTTTTGCGTTTTTCAGCCTAAAAAATTTGAAAATACAACCTAGAAAGTGTTTTTTAGCCAATTAATTAAGCCATCCATTTTAGTGAGATGCTTAGAACTAGGACTTAGAACGGTTTTTTTCTTTCCTTTCCAAATCTTTTTAGATAGTTTTATTATCATTACATTAACAATGTTAAAAAAAAAAAAAAGATTTTGAATTCATAAAGATCTAGATCTTGAAATACACCAAACAGATAATCAAGATTCATTGTTGGAGAGGAATCATCTTGACTATATCTAAGGTACAAATTGAATTTTATACCTTTTCGAATCACCTATCAGGATGAAGAGCGTATGCAAAATTTGCAGTCATAAGAATGCCACAAATATGGTTTTACAGAAAAATGCCACAAAATTTGGAATCAACTTTCATCTCGTAATAATGTGTATTACCATCTCCAACCTGTAACTACTTCTATACATACCTTCATCTGCCTCTAGCATTGGTGATGGATCTGCCTTAACATCTGTAAGTTAGAGATGATGGTGATGGTGATGGTGATGGAGGTAGGCTTCATGGTGGTAGTATTAGAGGACGTGGTCGTGATTCAAGGGAGGTCATGACAACAAAAAAACATATTCAATGTGGACCCACAAATCATATCGCTTATAAGTGTTGGGACAAGCTTGCTAAACCTACCTGGGAGAATCAATTTATGCATCTGAGAGTGATGTTGTTCATCCAGTTGGCTGCACTAATCATCACCAAATTTCAAATTCTATTTGTGATTCAGTTTTACCCTTGGATGAGGTATACAATAAACTTCTGAACAATAATTAACAGCCTATAACTCGTTCTTCTACATCCACTGCCACTCTTGCAAAATTAGGTAGTTCTGCATTTCTTGTATTTCAGAGACCAGCTCCTTCAGTCATTGATCAAAGAGGCTTTGAGCACACGAATTGTCAGTCTTCTATGTTTTCTTTCCTTGATAAATTAGTCCCTAATGCACCTGCTACACTAGCTAATGGCTCTTTATCTAGTGTATCTGGGAGGTGAACAGTTCATCCTACTTCCTCTCCTTCATAGTCCTTTATTCTTTATGTACCAAAATTTCCTTTTAATTTGTTGTCCGGTAGTAAATTAACCAAGCCACTTCGATATTCATTAACAGTTTATCCCTCCTTCTGTGTTTTTCGGGATGTAAAGACGGAGAAGGGAAATACTGGTGGATAATACTATCGAGACATAGCTCAGTTAGTGTCTTTTCATTCGAGTGTTTCTCTATTTCATTGGCATTCTCAGTTAGTCATCCAACAAAGAAAACATTGACAATGCTAGACAATCTTTCTCCTCCCTCTCCCCTCCCCCTTACCAGTGACTTGCATTCACCCCTTGGGCCCGACCCTCTCCCTTCCCTTCAACCTGCACCCCCACGGTCCGCATCGCCTTTTACCTTTTCTGTGAGTTCCATCGTGGCCTCGGCCTCCTCTTCCTCTCAATCACCCCACTCGAGGCTCCAGCTTTGTCAACAGCATGGATATGGCCTAGGGAAACATCAACCAGATTATGTGGATCGTCAGCTTCAAGTTTGATGGCTCGCCAGAAGACGTCGAGGCTTTCTTCCCCTCTGACGCCCAATCTTGCTTTAAAGTAAGTAAAAAGAAAGGCCAAAGAGAACTCCACAACCTCGTCTTTGGGGTAAACTATGATTAGGGCGCATCCTCTAACCCTAGCGCCTCTGTCACGGCTTCACCTCCTGCAGCCCACCCTACCCCTAGACGCTCTTCGAGACGTCCCCCTGCTTCCTGGCACCTTCTCGTGAAGCTCCTTGTATGAAACATCAGAGGCCTCGCATCCCCCTTCAAGAAGAGCTTGGTTCGTTCTTTTTGCTCCTCCCACACCGCACACTCCCCTCCTATTCTTGCTCTCTTAGAGACTAAACTCCCCTCCCCTTCGCTCAGCATGGTGCATCGAGTGTGGCACAGACGACCCTGTCAATGGGTCACCCTCGACGCCAACGTAGCTTCCAGGGGCATATGGGACCCTGCTTCCCATTCCCTCTCTTGCTCCTATATCACCTCCTTTTCCATAACAACTCACCCACATTAGGGTGTCTAATGAACTCCACTGGAAGTTCACTGCTGTATATGGACCCAATTTAGACACAGCTCGAAGCGCATTGTTGGAAGAATTGGACATTGCCTCTCGCCCACCTGCGAAGTGGTGTCTCGGGGGTGACTTTAATGTCACCAGATGGTCATTTGAGAGGAATTCCTCAACCAGGGTGCCTCAATCAACGATGGATTTCTCAGACTTTATCTCGTGCCACAAGCTCTTAGATCTCCCAACTGAAGGGGCCACTTTCACGTGGTCCAACCACTCCTCCTCCTCCTCCTCCCCCTCCCTATCCAAGATCAATTGTTTCCTCTATAGTGCCGACTGGGACTCCACATTCCCCAGTACTCAGATCTCAGCTCTACCCAAACCCACTTCCAATCACACGCCCCTCCTTCTCAATACCCTCCCAGCCACCAGTGGACCCAGACCCTTCAGATTCAAGATAGCATCGTTCAAAGACCTACTCTTCCCTCTTTGGTCTCCTCCTGGTGGTTGTCCTACTCTGTCACTAGAAGGGCTGGATTTCATCTTCAAAAGAAACTCCAGCTTCTTAGGGCTTGCAGTGTGGAGCCACTATCTTCCTAGGAACTTCCACCTCTGAAAAGCCTCCCCTCCTGCAATCCAACCATCATTTGGATCTCCTCGAAGATTCCCGCTTCTTGAGCCCCAACAAACACCTCCTTGGAACCCAATTGAAAACCGAGTTCCAAAGTCTTCTTAGGATTGAAGAAATCTATTGGGCCCAGAGGTCCAGAATGAAATGGCTGAAACAACGCAACTTTTCTTTCACAGAATAGCCAATTGTCGTAGAAGGGACAATACCATCACCCAAATCAAGCTTCATGGCTCCGTCCTGGATCAACCCCTTTGATTGAAAGAGCCATCCTTGGCTTCTTTTAGAACCTCTTCCAGGTCCAACCCAGACCCACTACCACCATGGATAACCTTACCTTCCTCACCATCCCCCCGGACCAGGCCCAGTGGCTGGAGCGTCCTTTTTCGAGGATGAAATCCACAAAGCAATCAACAAATTGGGCCAAGACCGGGCTCCAAGCCCGGATGGGTTTCCAATAGCCCTTTACAAGCACTTTTGGTAGGTCCTCAGCCCGGGCCTCTTGGCCTTTATCGAAGATTTTCATAATAGAGGAGTCATCCACAAGGGCATGAATGCAATGTTCATCGCCCTCATCCCCAAAGTCGAAGGAGCCGAAACGCTCAAAGCCTTTCGACCCATTATTCTCATAAACAGTTCCTATAAAATTCGTGCCAAGGTGCTGCCATCTAGACTCAAGGAATTCCTTCATTGGGTTATTTCTCCTCACCAGGGTGCCTTCATCAAGGACCTTTCGATCCTCGACGGAGCCCTTATCGCCTATGAGTGCATCCACTCTCGAATGGCCACCAATGAACCGGGCCTTATAGTCAAGCTCGACAGGGAAAAGGCATACAACCATGTCAACTGGTTAGCCGTAGAAGGGACCATGACAAGGATGGGCTTTGGGTCTCATTGGAGAAAGTGGATTAATGGGTGCACTCGACACCCCTCTTTCTCAGTCATTATCAATGGCGCACCCAAGGTCTTCAACTGCTCCAGGGGTCTTCGTCTAGGAGACCCGCTATCCCCCGTTTTATTTGCCATTGTCGCTAAGTTTTCAGCAGATCAATCTGCTAGGATGTATCATCATGGTCTATTGGAGGAATTTAGGGTCACAAATGATGGCATCACTATTTCCCACCTCCAATATGTTGACGACATCCTCCTTTCTTACGGTGCTTTGTCACAACAGGTGGACTCCCAGCTCCTCTCTCTCAAATGTTTCCAACTGGCCACAGGCTTCAAGGTCAACCTGGCCAAACAAAAAATGGTGAATTGGCCGTTGGCCCCCTCTTCACCACCACCCTCCCGGTCAGATGGGGCTGGGGTGTGGACTCCCTCCCTTCCACTTACCTTGGTCTACCCCTATGCCACGACAAACCCAAACTCAATCAATGGAACCACATTATAGATCGCTTCGACCACAAACTTGCCGCTTGGAAGGGGAGATAAGAATCTCTGGCAGGCAGATTCACCCTCACTAAAACCACCCTCTCCAATGTCCCCATTTACCACATGTCCCTTTTTCATATGCCTTAGAACAACTGATGGACAACTTCCTCTGGTCTGCCTTAGGGAACCTAAATAAATTAGCCTCATCTCCTGGCAAACGGTTTGCAAGACCAAGGCCCTTGGTGGTTTGGGGTTTAAAAACCTCTAATTCAATAACCTAGCCCCTTTAGGCAAATGGTGGTGGCACCTCGCCACCCAAGAGGGGCACCTCTAGCAACAGGTTCTTCGCGGCAAATACCGCATCAGTCATGCCTCTTAGCTGCCTGAAATCAGAACCTACATTTCCCCCTTGGGGGTTTGGAGATCTCTCACTCGGTGCCTTAGGACCCTTCAAAGCTCACATCCACTTCCACCCTTGCCACAGAGATAGAACTCTTTTTTGGTCCAACCTCTGGATTGGTCACATGCCCCTGAGGATTCGCTTCCCAATCTCTTCCACCTCGATGTGACCCTAGCGCCTCAATGGCCGAGCTTTCCCTTCTCTAGGCTCATCTCGAGCTTGGAATCCCAATTTTTACAGACCCCACCAAGAGAGTGAGCTCCCTTTCTTGAGCTCTCAGCTATTCTCCACCCTATCCACCTCTCTACCCAGGGAATGGACTTCATGAAATGGACCCCTACAACTAACGTGCTCAATGGCCTCCTTCTGTAGCTTGCTCAGCAACCCCAGGCCCTATCCCTCCTCTCCTCACCCCATTATTATGGCCTTGTCGGAACGGGATCTTACTATCGACCAGCTTCAGCGCAGAGGAATGACTGTCCCCAACCAATGCGCAATGTGTAGGGAAGCAAAGGAGACCAACTCGCACCTTTTCATCCATTGCAGCATCGTGAGCCAACAGTAGGATCACCTTCTTCGTCTTTTCAATTGGACCTGGGTTACCCCCAAGCCAGTCCCTTACCTCTTCCAACAATCACAATATCTTCTGTGACCCAAATCCAGCACTTTGTCATGGAAGGCCTCCGTTGCCGCGACCGTTTGGACCATTTGGAAGGAAGCAACAAAAGGATTTTCCAGGGTCAATCATCTCACCCACAGGTCTTGTGGGACAATATCAAGTCTACCGTGATATTTTGGGTGTTGCATCATAGCAGGTCCAAGCTGGTAGCAGCCTCAGACTTCCTCCTTAATAGGCATATGGTCCTTTGTTTCAAGCCTCATCGTATTCCTCGTGTCTCTTTGTTGCGCCCATTGGAGCCTGGCCAAATCAAGCTCAATTTTGACGGTTGCAACCCAAGCCTGGCAGGCATCGACGGAAACTTCAAAGACCATTGGTTGGGCCCACTCAACTACGACCACGCCCCTCGCCTTCTTGTAAAGCCTCAAACTGTTCAACCCCTCTTGGAGTTCCTCCCTCATGGTGGAAGGTGATTCTAAAAATGTCATCACCTGGGCCTTCATAGAGGCACCTACACCTTGGAGACTCATTTCGGTTTTTGCAAAGATCTTCAACTTGTGCAGGCTTATAAAGGTCTCATGGGTGCATACTTGGCGCCAGACCAACCAAGCAGTAGAGAACTAGCCAAGTAAGGTGTGGAAAACTAGCTTGATCACACTTTTATATTCCCCCTGGTTTTTTGGCTTTTATGCTTGTATAGCATTTTTTGTCAATAGACACCCTCTAGGTGATTTTTTGTGTAGAGCTCCCAACCTGTGGGTAGCCATTTTTTGCAACGTGTACATTTGTCTTTACTAATACAAATGTTAACAGTTTTAAGAAAAAAATCTTATGGAAAAACAGTTTTTCATTTAGAGGCTTTAATAAAGTGTATATATATATATATATAGTGTGGTTTCTATAAGGTTGCAACCTTAAACAATCCAATTAAGGCGCACCTCCAAATTTTATCATAACATATATATTTAGTGTTAACCATTCTTAGGATTATCTGAAAATATTTATATCTAATTATAAAATTTTTAACTCTAAAAATGGTTAAAATCAAGTAGATCTATAAACATATGAAAATCTTGAAAATGGACAGTCTAGATAATGTGTTGCAAAATGCATTATTTTTAGGACTCAAAATTTTTTTTTTTTTCATATTCGTACATCTCGATGTCGAGATGATCAATTAGAGGGATTTTTAACATTAAAAAAAAAATTTCCAATGGGTTCTTGAAGTGCATGTGTAATTCTACATTTTAAGGTTGCAACCTTATATAAAACTTTTCCATATATATATATATATATAGGTGCAGTTGGCATACGGATGCATCCGT